AATGGAGTTTGGGTTGGTTTTAGTAGGCTCCCTTGCATATTGGTTGTTTTTTTTCCAGAGTAATGATATTCTTCCCCTTGCAGGCCCTAAATTGCTTTCCCATTTTGTTTTTGTGCTTTCACAGGCAAAATGCTTGTGTCTTCTTTTATACAAGGCTCTTTGAAAATTGATTTTTTTATGTTTTAATTAGAAATTCCTCAAGAATGCTTTTTTTCTGAAGTTGAAAATGAAGTTTCAGGGAGTGGTTAGATCCATTCCCTTAAAAATTTCCACAGTTTTTACTATCAATCAAAAAAACTAAGCATTGACAATCTAAAATATGAAGAAATATGGTAACGTTAGCTGCCAGCAATTGTGCCACTATGACAGCACAAAGCAGAAAAAAATTATTGCATTTTTAAGCATTCGCAAATGAAGTAGACTTATACCCTCAGAACCCTAAGTCTCCATGTATTCCCAAAAGAAAAAAAAAGTGAGTTCATGTCTTCTCACTGAAATTTCCATGGAAGTCATAGGAGGGTGAGGCCTTATTCAGTACCATTTTGTCAAGCCAAACCCAAACTGCAGATCTACCTTGGTGCTGAGACAGATTAATTTCCAAACGGGAAGATTCTGAACAGAAGTCCAAGAGATGCAACTGTGGGAACCAGCATCAGCCAGCTCCTGCACCAACTGAATCAAAGACACACAAGGTTTCAGATGTCACTGTTTGAAATCTCTCCTTTCAATATAAAATCTATTTAGAATCAGAATCAATCAGTTTAGAAGTCAAGCAAAAGTACTTTGAGTTTTATTGATAAAATTGTGGACACACAATGATTTGAACATCTTGAATTTTCCTGCAGCAGGCTGTTATTTATTTATTGTAACCCTGTATAAAAGCGAACTGGAATAAATACCAACATAAGTTTAAAAATGACATGCATTATTCGTGCCATCACAATACTGTATCTTAATATTTTATCACAAGAAAGTTTGTAAAGTTGTCTTTAAAGTGCCTAAAGATAGCTAAATATCTATGCTCAGTCTATGAACAGGAGAAAATCTCATCTCTCTCTCTGCTTTCCCATCCGATAGCTCTTGTCATCAGAACTATACAGTTTGATTGTGATGGATTCACACTGAAGGAAGGGACATCCGTGTCATGAAAATGAGGGCTACACAAACATATAGGTTACTCAGCTTAGACACACACTGACTGTTCAGGCCAATTATCCAAAGCGCTATACCCAGTGTTATTTTCCAGTGGCTCCCTTAGGGAAGAAAGGCTAGACGACTGCTTCGAGGGGCATTTCTCTTGATGGGGTCATCTGAGGGGCCCATGTGCACAAGGTAGATTGCTGGAAAAGGAACAGAGGAGAAAGACTAGTACGTTTAGCCCAAGGGATGAGGAAAGGTAGAACCCTTGAAATATCTTTCTTTTTGGTGATGTTCTTTGGATCTCAGAGGGACCAAATAACCACAGCTTCTGTTTAAGTTCTCAAAAATTTGCTTGGAGCACCTCAAGCAACAAAACGAAAAATGACTTTGGTTCCATCTGGTAAACTTTTTCCTATGTAGAAGGTAACTTTCACCAATATCAGCCTTAAATGTTGCGGGCACAGAGAGCAGTAGAAAAGAAGCAGTTTGCAATATCACCCCATTTTGGAATCACTTAAAATAAATGCCAGGAGCCTTGAAAAGGCTTTTCTGGCAGTAGAATATCTGAATATAAAACTGAAAAACCATTTTGAAAACTCAGAGAGGAACTGTGGTCCAATTGGATCAATAATTTGGAGCACAGGACTCAACCATTGTGACCACACAACAGAAATAATTGCAATCACTGCTAAAAAAAGTAACATATCTCAACACAGCTGAGATCAGGCTAATGATTCACTTTGTTTTAAATGTGAATTATTGGAAGCAGGAATCAGAAAGTTCAAGGATGAAATTAGCCTCAAAACAAATTAATCTATTTTAAAAGGTTTTTTTTTGGGGAAAAGAAAAAAAAGATCCCAACTTGTACAGTACAGGAGGAAAAAAAAAAATCTTCAGAATACAACTCCAAGCTTCCAAGCTCAAAGTTAATCTGATGATATATCTGAATACTGATAACCCGGGCACAGATCCATCTCCAGAGAGAGATATGCCTGCTATGATTATCTCTCTGGTAGCTGTCAAACAAAGAGATATCATTCTGTCTACAGTTAAACAACAACAGATGGAACAGACCCTCAGCCAAAGTAAGTAGCATCACTCCAGTGCTTTCAAATGGAGCCTTACTGTGCTTTGCACCAGTTGAAGATCTGTTCCAGATCTCTGTTCCAAGGCTAGGGTTAATCTTATCTTTAATATAAGCTGAGATCATCACCAAAGAAGCTACAGAAGAAACCATGTCTTTAAGGCACAGCCTTATGTTTGTGGTATCATTATGTCATGTACTATCATCAGTTTCCACTTATTTCAGAGGGCACTTAACATGTAAGGCCTCTCAACTTCATAAATTCATGAGCTACAATATTCCTCAAAAGCACAAAGTTCTTGAACTAGAAGATGTCCTGCTTTACCCGATTTTGCATACCAGGTGCCTGAATGGCTTTTGGAGACTCCACTGAAAGAAACAGGAATTTTTAGACACAACTCATTACCTGTAAGGGGGTTGCTTAAAATTGGTGAGATGATTCAAGCCCCCTGCAAATACAATTCTCCCTGTGTTGAGTATAAAAACACATAAACAACTTGCATGGAGGCTCATATCTATTTTGCAGTTACTTACGTATAGGTGAGATAAGTTCTATATATTGTGCCAAATCCTTTTTCAGCAATCACAGTTCTCATGCTTTCTGTAACATAATAGATAAATTAGGTATTCAAAAATAATAAGAAATGTGGTTCCTAAAATTCATATGGTGATTTGAGATTATTTTATCTCCAAATCAAAATAAATGATCCACCAAGAACAGGTGAGAATTCTTCATACATTTCATATACAAAGAATCTCTTAGAAAAATAAAAAAGAAATAGAAAGAATCTTCATTCCAGAATTCCTGTAAGACTAACAATACGTGATATCTTGACCCAAGAACATAGCGTTTTGTCTAGAATACAATATGTAAGAAAATTATTTTCTGTTCTCTCAAGTGCTTTAATCTTGAAATTACCTTAATCCACTGATAATCATAATGCAATATATTTCAGTTTGGTCATACGTTTGCCAAGTTGTTCTGAAAAAAATGGGTTTAAGATATGTGTATTAAAATTGTGATTCATGGATATCGCAAAGGGAAAATGGCTATTAGATGAGCCATTCCTGCCAGTACAGTCTTGTCCCTCAAAGAACATTTCCTGCCCTTTTGCCTAGTCTAATTTCAAAGTCCATCTGGGTGTATAAGCTGTGCTATTATGAGCAAGTATGTTATTAAAAAGTTATTAAAATGTGTAATGTGTTTTGGCTGCATATTTTTTAGCCAAAGATCTCTCTGTATTACTCATTGTGGGGAAAAAAAAAATTACTTCTTCAGATGTTATGCAATAGTCTGAAGCAACCACAGTGGCTAAGCCTTTTGCAGAGATAGCAAAACATGCCTCATAAGCTTATTATAAGTGCAGCTACAGCAAGCTGGAGTTTAAGGCCACCTGCAAACTGCAGTCAGAAATCTTTACAAGCACTCAGATGATGAAGCTCTCCCTCAGACCCATAACCCTGCAGATACATTAGTGTCAGTTTGCTAATGCAATTGTCTGCTTATAAGCTGCAATGATTCCAACATAGATGTATCTAAAGGGATATGCCACAAGATAGAAAAATGGTATTATAAGAGAGACAAGAGCATTAAAACATATATTGTGGCCAGAAAAAAGAGCTCTTAAAAAAATCTGTCCAGACCAGTTAATTTTTCTGAGATCATTTGGAAGGTTCATGTAAGAAACAGGCACTTTGCTGTACACCAGAACCTTGACTGATATCTGTTGATCCTATATCAGAAGAATAAATGCTTTGAAGGAGAAGAAAAGGTTTTAGTTTATAGTGTAAGCTAAACGCAACTCTCTCAACATCAATGAATAATCCTTCCTTCTTACGTGGCCTCCTTACTCTGATATCCAAGCAACATACAGTGCTTAAAAGGTTCTTTCGTACCTCAAAATACAGTCACACATTCACTGTTAGTGCAAGTTATACTATCCTCATTTTACAAGCCAAAACCTCAGAGGCAGAAGCACATTATCTCAGCACCCAGCCCCAGCTTATAGCTCCCAGAATGAGGTTCTTGATATAATGAACAGCAGATCCAGATTTTAGAAAAAGATTCACAGCAGTCAAAAAAATTGAAGGTTTTCTCAGATGTTACCTGTTCTACCTAAAGACATCTGTGAGTTTGGCATCTGCAGATTCAGAGCTGGAAATCTTGAACTAGAGTAAGACACCTAAAGCAAATACTCAGATACAGAAAAAGGAATTTTTATAAAGGCAGCAAAGGCTACAGCAGTATGGCAGCAGATAGATGTTTAGAGCACACCTGCTTGGGAAGCAGGAGGACTAGGCTTCAAGTCTTCTTAATTCTGCAGAATTCAAATTCATGTCTCAGGCTTTTAAAAATTTCTCAATCACCAGACTAACAGTGAAAGAAAAGCCAAAAATGAGTTATTGTAAGATGACTTACCAGGACAGAGAGCAGACATAACAATGTTGGCTAAAACATAGCAAAAAACATCCGTCGTTCTGGGAGGGAAGATCTGAGGGATCTGGTAAATGCTAATAGAGGGCCTTGTTCTGGTAATGAGCAATAGACATAGCAATGGTCTCTTCCCAAAGTTCACCTCAGAGGAGAGGTAGAGAAGTACATTCAGAAGTAGATTGAACCTAGCAAGAGTTGAGTTTAAAAAGTCCATACAAACTGCAACACAGCAGGTTATGCCTGGTAAAGGGCTGTCATCTCTGATGCTTTCCTATCTGTTCATGACCTAAGGAAAGGGTTTTAAAACCTTGATGACCCTAAGCTCAAACTCCATTCTCTGTTATTTTGCTGTGAACACAAAGCATGCCAGGACTTTGATTCAGGGATGGTTTCCCCACATTGTGCTGCAGTTGGGTAAAATTGGTAAACATTTTCTGTGGAAGCAGAAAGCAGAACCAAAAGCTGTGCCTACTAACCACAAGCTTTGCTGTCATTTGTCATGTCCTACATGTGCAATTTCTCTGCTCATGAACCTCACTTGTCTTTCCTGCAGGGGAACACACCTTCCACAATAGGGATAGCAGTTAATCTTCTCTTATTGCAGAGTAGAACACAGTAAGAGGTAGTAAATTTTAAATGCCACATATTGAAAAGAACCTACAGGTCATATCTTCCCTCTTCTCAGAGCATTATATCCACTGTGAGGATGTACAAAAAGTGGTCGACAGGTCTTTCTCCTTCCAAGCTTGAAAAATTTTTATATCCCTGTTGCTAAAACTACCACACTTTGTGTTGAACTCAATGCTCTCTGCACATGCCAGGCACTCAGAGGACACCTAGCACACCAGGACTTCAGCGTTATGACTGATTTGTCATTACTAAATAGACTTCAAATGAGGCTACTTTTATTCTCAGCCCATCTAAGTACGGTGGTGCCTTCGAACACATTTAAATGATCTTCGTCTATTCTTTCCTAGTCAAAGCCATGGCATCCATGTCCTCTCAGGCACCTAGGCTGAATTTTCATGGACACTCCTCGAACAAAGACACCTAATTTAAGCTTGAGTTACATTTTAGGTTCCTAAGTGCTTTATTGGATGTCAACCAGACCGAGAAACTTGCCCAAGGTCACACAGAAAGTCTATGGCAGACAAGGAAACTGATCTGGGGTCTCAGGTCTAGGACTAGCACTGCAGCACTAGGAACATCTTTCCTCTTTCGGCTGCTCCTATTGAATCTAAAATGACAGAAAAGACCAGAAAAGTTAATGACAGGAACGAACATGCTGTGGAATCAATTAGTTTCATCTACAAGATTCTGAAATATGATCTATACTTACGTTTATCCATTTATTACATTCTTACCCTCTGCAGATGATTGCACAAATGCCAGATCCATCTATTTATAAAGCAGCGAAACATTCAAGTGTTCTCTAATGTACCACTTCCAAGTGCAAGCAGTATGTACTGACCAGCTTTCATAACTATCTTGGCAATGATTTGTACACCTGTTAGGATTTCAATTTATCAAAGACAGACATATTCGTATTTCTGTCTATGACTGCATGTGCATGAAGTAGGAAAGGATGTTAAAACAATACTACTGATTTAAGAGCAGCCAGGAGTTAAGATTTATTGCTCTGTCCTTAGCTCACCCATGCTCTGCACAGCTCTCATATATGCACAGAAACAGCTCATGAACATAACTGATATGTGAAAGAAAAAGAGTCTAAGGCAAAGACTGAGAGTTAAATCCAACAGCAAAAACACCAATTGAGTTCACAGGGCTCTGGAATGGCTGTGTTGAAATCAACCAACCTTTATCAAATGTCAGAAAGAAGTCTGAATTGCACCTACCATTGTCTAGACGACATGGTTTTCGGATTTGGAATGTTTGATTTTCCTGTGATTAATGAAGGAGATTATAACAGGCTTTCCCATTTGAAGACTGTTAATATTCTTCTCACATTATAATGGCCCCAAAGGATCTCGGGGAGCGTACAGGCACTCCCACTGATTCCCTGTCGTTTGCCGCACAATCGGAGCAATTTCAATAGACCGGTTTCTTTCAGACTCATTACACACATAAGTGGTACGCCCCCATTATCAGCAGAGCATTGAAGTGCTAGCTGGTAATGACTCCTTAGGAAGTAGACTGTATATCAACCTTCAGCAGAGTGTGTTTTATAGACCAGGTATAAATTCCATAGGAAATGCTGACAGACCCTTGACTAAAACAGTACCTAGCAGCACCGTCACCCTGCAGTGACAGGAAAGAGTTAGACACTGCCCTGCCCTCATTTCACAGCACGACTGAGGTTAATCAAACTGCATCCTTGAAAATGCATATGAGTTTCTACCCCTGCATTTCCTAGCAGACTAACTAACTTACCATCCCATCAAAAAAAAAGTTGGTCACCCACAGGATGTTTCATTTGAGGACATTCAACCTCATTTTATCATGATAACTGCAATCACCACCTCTAAGGTGATTCCAAGGTGGGAATGCTTCATTGAGGAATATTTACCCTTTACCCTTGCTATCAGTAATATTATTAATAATTTTCTGCATTTTCAGATACCTCACAACCCATCTATTGCCCTTTGAAGGTACCACCCTAAGGTGTAGAGGTTTGCTATAGCATAGTCAGTGCAAACATGAGTAAGTTGAATTTTGTGAAAATAACAGCACTTCATGGATTACCAGGGACTGAGGAATGGGAAAGGATCAAAATAAATAATTAACAACAGAGAACTGCAATGCAAAAGTGTTTTAGATATGCTAGACAATAACATAATATGTAAGTATACTTTTTTTATGAGAGTTTAGTATTGATCATTGTGCTAATGAGTTTCTGAATCACTCAGACATATTGTTCTAATATTAATTAGTTGTATTTTATAACTGAATCTGCAAGACAAAATAACATCATTTATGACAAGTAAACAGGCAACACTCATTGTAATAGCATCTTGTCAGTTTTTAAATTAAGAATACAATTATTAGCTGACAAAACTTGAATTTTATAAACAACACAGTGGGAACAAGTATGACGTCCCTCTTTGAGACTTCTTTATATCCATGAAAGCCATCTAATTGCAGTTACTTACAACTTTAAAAATTTACTTTGCAGGATAGAGACAATCTTCTTCCTGGAAAGACTGCAAAACCTGTACAGTTATTGTTGATCAGCACAATGAAAACTATGCTCTCACCTTCTAATAAAAGTACTTCAGTAATACTTGATCAGATGAATGACCTGAACACTTTTGTTGTTCCAGGAATGGATTCTAGGTACTGGATACTGCTGTGCACGGTTTATAGAACATACTTACATTTTAAGTACATTAAATTTTCACGAACATGCCCCAATATGGACATAAAACTTAAATTAACTTGCATGTAACGGCATGCTGTTAGTAAGACTAATACAGAGAAAATTAATAAGCTTCTAGTATCTTCAAAATACAATTATTGCATACTGCAGGTATTGTATTTCTAAATAGGTTCTTAACAGCCCCTGGTTGTAAGTCAGCTGTTTAACAGGGAGATCAGAAAGAAATAAAAGGCCAGTGATTTGTGTATGTTCTCTGAGCCATATACTTTATATTATTGTTACAATTACATTACCTTACTCCTCTTCCAGCAAGTCAATTTCTAGTGTTGTGAAGAAAAACAAGTACACACATTGCACTGAGATTTGTGAATTTCCTGGAGTTTCATATAACTTTTGGTCTGGCTCCCATGGCACAATCTCAACTGTAAAACAAAGTTTGGCAGTCTCTGAATTTCAGAAACAGTTCAAGAAGTATACGCTCAAAGGAAAATGAATTCTAAACTGCAAATATCCCTGCTACCATATAGACTTGGCTCACTTCTTGACCCAATCCCTTCACTTTCATGATATGTCTCATCTTGGTTTAGCTCATTGCCAAAGGACAAGATTACAGCAACTTTAAAATGGTTTATGTTGGCTTGAGGGAGTGTTGCCCGGTCAGGGTTTAGTCAGAAATGGTCTGTGTTGACATGACTCAGGTCTGGGAACTCACTTCCTTCATTTTCTTTCCAGTTTACCACGCTTAAACTCAATGACATGTATCCTTGCTTGAAGGCAAGGGTTTTTTTTCTCCATAGACACTTGAAATCTTCAACCATACTTCTGTTTTTATTTTAAACTTCAATAGCTTCCTGGGAGAAGGTGGGTGCTGATACCAAAAATCATGACACAGAATTATGTTAAAACCTCGTGCGTTATTGTACAAGCATATAATCCTGTGTAATGGAAGTAAAAATGCATATTTGAAGAGATAACCTTTTGTACTCATAAAAAATGTTCCAGTGAATATTTCTGAATTTAAATACAACCAATAAGCTTGAAATAACAGCTTGAATAGGGAGTTGTTTAACAGTAACAGGAAAATCCTTAATCACAGTAGAAATATGGAGGCTCTTGACAGTCTATTCTGTCACCAGAAAGGTGATAAACCCTAGACTAGTCCTCTACTTTTTTGTCTGTACAAGGCAGAAGTATCCACTGTTCCCACTACTTCTAGTCCTGACTTAATGCACTCCTTTGGAAATTGTCTAACATTAGGAGAAAATGGAAAACATGTAGATTTTCGCAAAAACTTATAGCTAAATAATACAAAACAAGCATTTTTTTTTAACATTCTTTTTGTGTCTTTTATTCCATGTATGTCATTTACCAGATTGTCTCTCATTATCTACAGTTTTTACTGGCATTTCCCTGAGCCTATTTTGTGCAGAGGAAAAGAGAAAGTCTCACACACATCTGTGCGTTATCCCTCCAGTTCTCTGTTCTTTGTTCTATTTTCTGTAGAACACAGGTAGTTTGTCACAAAGAGTTCTACATAACTTTTTCTGAATTACTCTGGAAAGTTATTTTAGCCAATTCTAGAGTCAATAAGTAACTAAAATGGTATGGAGTCACTTTTACTCACTTTCCACTTCTAAACTGCACTAACGGTGGCCTTAATTTACATGCATGATCCAAAGTAACTTTGCAACACAGAAGTATCTGAAAACTCTGGAGAAGCTGAAGATGGAAAAGAAGGTGTTCCAAACATTAATTTTGTCCCAAAAGCATGTCTTTCATGCTTCAGGAAAAGAAAAGACTTTTGATTACTTTTATTTCACATCTGGCAAAAGCTCAGTTTAAGGCAGATTCAGCTGCAGTGGCAGATTTTGCTTCCATCCAGCCCATTAATTTTGGTAGCAAAGAAAAAAAAGTGCATCTGCCTCTATGGGCCATGGTGAGTGACTCGGTATAACCCAAGGTTGTCTTTAGAAGGAGCACTTAGAAGACTGTAGCCCTCTCATTAGCCCAGCCTGGGGAAAGGCACACTCCAGGGCTCAAGCCACCTGAGTGCTTGGGCAGTCTTGTCATACAGATCTGGTGAAAGAAGCCACACTGGTATCTTTTCCTATTTGCAGAACATGAGACAACAGTAGACAATGAGCTATCTGCATCTGATTTGCATCTCAAGTGGTCTAACTTAATAGCCAGCACTTGCAATTTTAATTGTAGTCACCCATTATCCAGTAATATGCAAGAAAAGAGGGATCTCCTTGAATCTCTCTCTGCAATCATTTGTAAGTAACACCCTGAGCCCACAGCTCCAACTCTTGATATTTCTTGAATTTTCTGCCATATCAGCTAATGTCAGGGGAGCAGAGAAGGATATCCCTGAGACATAACCTCTTCTTTATGTGTCAAGTACACTTCCTGTCATGCTTATAAACCTATCTAACTCACAACTCTTAAATATGTAGCCTGTACCAATGTGTTTAGTCCTGGAAAATATTTTTTATTCTCCATATTCTACTCTCAAAGGGATTCACCTCCTACTTATTCCTTATAACTCAATGAATTCAGTTTTCTGTTTCTATAAAAAATAAACATTATGTTTCTACATGTAAAGAAGCACAATAAAATTGCTGCTTAACAACATTTGCTTAAAAGAGTGTCCTGGGTTCAGCAGTAGCAGTCATGTTTTTTTTTCCTTTGTGGTAGCTGGTGCAGTGCTGTGTTTTGACTTCCAGCCTGAGAACAGTGTTGGTGAAGCCGATGTTTTCAGTTGTTGCTAAGTGATGTTTACCCTGACCAAGGGCTTTGTGAGGCTCATGCTCTGCCAGGGAGGAGGGGAAGCCGGGAGGAAGCAGAGATGGGGCGCCTGACCCGAGCTAGCCAGGGAGGTATTCCATACCACAGCACGTCATGGCTGGGGTGGGGGGTGACTGGGAGTTACCCGGAAGGACACGGGCTTCCGGGTGGGACTCGTTTCTTGGCTGGTGGTATCGTATTCTCTTCCCTTGTTATTTTCCCTTATCATTGTTGTAGTTGATAGTAGCGGTGGTGATTTGTGTTGTACATTGGTTGCTGGACTGTTCTTGTCTCAACCCGTGGGAGTTGCACTTTTTTCGATCCTCCTCCCCGTTCCTCCGGGAGTGGGGGAGAACCCCGGGGCGGGGGGGACACGGACCTCGATTGTTGTCAGCTCGGCACCACTCACTGGGAGTGAGTGAACAAGTTACCTGACTGGGTTTAAACCACGACAGTTCTTTTTTGGCGCCCAACGTGGGGCACGAGGGGTTGAGATAAGAACAGATCTGACTGGATTGATAGTCACTCGTCACAATGCTGATTTATTGGCTCTCAAGGTTGTTCCTCTTGATCTCACAGTTTCAGTATATAGTATCTTACGTCCATCTGGTATTTGCTGTATTAGTGTTTTTCAAGTGTGGGGCTTGGGCTAAGGTTTTTGTCCCATTGTACTTTATGGTAATGACTTGTAATACAATAGAATCATTGATCATGAAACTGATCTGGCTTATGTTCCCAGTGTGGTCACCACCTTTATACTCTGGGAGGTATATGATGGAGGTGCTTAGCAATGACACATCTTTTTTCTCCTTCTCAGGTGCTCAACCTGTGAAGGAGACATTCTTTTACCCTCCCAGTCCTCCCCCCAGACCATTTACATTTGAGAGTTTTGAATTTTTTGAATGGCATTTTAATGCTGTTGAGACTTGTTTGCTGATGGTGATGGGAATCACCATGCTAACACACATACAGAGTATGTTTTGCCCACTACTGATTTCAAGAGTTAAGCAGAGTCAGGTTTGGGTCTTGTCTGGGGTCAAACAACGATGTAGGAGGACCGAGAGATTTTCCCTGAGGCTGGACAGCCATGAGTGGCAGGGTGTGTGGGACAGTATGGGCAAGTATCTAGGTCAGTGGGCCCCTCCAGTACTTTGGAATTTCACTACCGAACAACTACAAAATCCAGAAGAATTAGTAAAACACTTAAATGAGGTGTGTGGTCATTCTGGCCATACCAGAGACGGACAAATCACGGCAACATGCTGGAGCTTGGCCTATGCTTACAGGGCCTTGTTCAACACTATCCAGCACCTTCAAAAGGAAAAGAATGTCAGCGGATCTGAGGGCAAAGCAACAGTCGCTACTCAAACTTTGGCCTCAATGAACAGAGCAGCTACCCCAGCAGCAAGTACAGCAGCTGCTCAAACTTCAACTGCAACAGACAGCGCGGTTACCCCAGCTCCAAGCACAGCAGCTACACCACCCCCAGCAACAAGTACAGTTGCTACTCAAACCACAGTGATAATCACTGCAGCCAAACCAGAGGACCACTTTGTACCAATATCGGTTGCCCCTGTACGCAAGAGAACAAGTAAAAAGGAGGCAAAAAGGGTGAAGTGAGATGAAGAACCAATGAATTCACCACCCGGTCCAGAATCTGATCAGGAGTCATCATCACATGACGAAGAAGAAGACAAAGAGGTAACTTCTCGACCTCAGACCTCAACCGAGCTGCGGAATATGCGAAAAGATTTTACCCGTCAACCAGGGGAGCACATCATCACCTGGTTGCTCCGATGCTGGGACAATGGGGCCGATGGTCACGAACTAGAAGGTACAGAAGCCAAGCAGCTGGGATCACTTGCTAGAGAAGGGGGAATTGACAAAGCAATTGCAAGAGCGAAAAAGTCCCTCAGTCTTTGGAGGCGGCTCTTGGCAGCTGTGAAAGAAAGGTTTCCGTACAAGGACGATGTTACGAGTCGTTCGGCCAAGTGGACTACTATAGACAAAGGCATCCAGTCTCTGAGGGAATCAGCCATCGTAGAGATGCTCTATCACATCAAGCCGAATAACGGGGATACACCTATAGATCCAGA